GGTCTCAACACCTCCAGCTTTGTTTCTCAGGCTTTCTGATATCAGTTTTTAACTTCGAAACCCATCCCAGATGACATCTAATCAGGGTTAGACAAGCAGCATTTGACCTAAAGGTGTTACTCTAAGCAGCCCCTCTCTAAATTTGATCCAGTAATTGAATTTGCACCCAGCAGAAACTTATTATTTTATGCTGCTCCTTTCTAATATCACAGTTTTCTCTTTCAGGTCTCTCTCTCTCTGTGTTCTGTAAAAATAAAATCTCTCTTCATTGCGATTTCTTTTTCTGCGTCTCTGAAGGATTGACCTTCCTCCGACACACAAGCCGCCTCCTCCCTACTCTGAGAGAGCACCTGCAGTTCCCCTGGGTGTCCACGCATCACAAGTGGCCTGGCTCTGTCAGGTAAACCCCGCTCCACTTTCATAACCACTTTAATATGTCAGTGCATTTCATCTGAATCATCAGCACCACAAAGATTATCACTTGGTGAGCTGATGATGAGTCACAACGGGAAGTAATAACACTTGCCGATGTCATTATGTGTGATTATTAAGCAGGAGGCCTAATGGCTGTACTCATTTAATATGTAGGATAGTTTAAATTTTAATTTGTGTGCTCAGCTCAACTCAAGCTTTCATAAGCCTGTACTTTTTTTTTTTAAGTCTAACTCAGAAAGAAAACTTTCCTGTTTCTCTATACCTAATCTGACTTTGTGATGCGCTGACATGAGGTATCACATGAGATGACAAAACTGTTTGTGGCATGAAAGAGCCGTCACACTGTACATCTTTTATGACTTTAACCAGCAGACTCGCAGGACAGACCACAGGCGTGAGCTGACTGACCGGCAGCACCCACCCACAAGAAGGTCAGGACCATCGGCAACACAGAGCCCCACCCAGCAGCCATCCCGTCTGCAGTGGGTGTGTCATCAGAGTGGGACAGACCGGGTGTACATCAACCACCGTGAACACTATGTGTGACAGACATCCTGAACACAGTCCACACAGCACCTGGCAGTCATTCACTCTGTCTGAGCAGCATCGAGTTTTACCAGCTTCACCTGAGGAAACAGCTGGCAGCATTAGAGGGCAACATCTGTCTTTTTACTTCACATTTTTAAATGTTATGTGTCTTAAGTAGTTCAACACTTTGGGGAATTTGCTTAGTGTCTTTCTGGTTGAGAGTTAGATGAGAAGATTGATGCCACTCTCTTGGGGGCAGACAGCTCGCCTGGCTCTGTCCAAACGTAACAAAATTTTTGTACTTCTCTCTAAAATCTGGAGTCTCTGCTGGTTGCCTGGCAACCTCACGGTAATGACAAGACACCTGGAGGTCACCGCGCCCATCCGAGAAATAATCCAGCACACAACACTCCCATATAACCACAAATTGTCTTTTTAAAATTTGGCTTATTTGATGTTTGGACAGAGCCAGGCTAGCTGTTCCCCATTTGCTTCCAGTCTTTATGCTAAGCTAAACTAACTGCCTGCTGTCTTTAGCTTTATATTTACTGTACAGACACAATCCTCTCATCTATTTCTCAACAAGAGAGCGAATAAGTGCATTTCCCAAAATGTCGAACTGTTTCTTTAAATATTTTTTCTTTCTTTTTTCTCTGTTTTGCAGATATCCTGTATTTATCTGTATTTAGAGTTTGTTATCACTTAGGATACTGATGCTTCTGAAACCACATGACCAAGAAAGCAAGACTCCATATCTGCCCCTCAATCAGCTTGTGTATTATTATATTGTACATAAGTAGATAGAAAAACAACCCAATTGCCAGAAAAAAATGTTGGGCATTGTACATTTCTGCAAACCATAGATACATTACATTTCTATATTATTGTATAGCAGATACATGTTAACTTTACATTGAAATTTTACGTTTCAACAATGCTGTAATTAACATGTGGTTAGGTTTTGGCTTAAGAACTTGGTTTTGGTGGCACAATCATGACTGGAAATGCAAGCAAACAACTGCTTTTACCAGCACTATCCCCTGTGGTCACTAAAAAACACCCACGTTTTGTGGCTACAAAGCCACTTGAAACACAGTGACGACTCATGCAGATGATGCTATCCACCATCCCCCTCAAGTCCTGATGACAAAGTCAGCTCATATTCCACATCACTTTAGAGACATTGATAAGATATGTATGAAACGTACAAATATAAAGTACCGGTGGTTTGCAGAAACATACAATTCCACTATAGTCTTCTGGCGTCTGGGCTGTAGAAATCAGCTGAGGGTCATAGTTAACCACCAAAATCCAAACTCTGTTCTCCTTTTTTCTTTTATCAGAGCGGAAACCACAAAGCATAACTCTGAGACACTATTCTCAGGCATATCACTAGACCAAACCACGCCAGATCCAAACCGCTTAGGTCCACTGAGACCAAATGTACTAACTGCAACACAGACCATGAAGGGATTAATTAAGGTGTTTCTGTCCCAGTTCTGTGATTGTGCTGTTTTAATGTTATGACACAATGCTTTTTTGGCAGCAGAAACTGTAGATTTGTAAATATGTGTAATTATGTAGAGTCGTAACCTCCTGCTAATCAGGGAAACAGTAATCTGAGACGTTATTAATGTCAGTACTTTTTATACATACTGCAAAAAAACAGACTTGTTATGTGTAAACTGAATGAAATATTCACATCATTTGTTGCGAGGAGTCAGCGGATTACGTACGTCATACTCCTGTGCCTGACTTTTATCTGGAGAACTAACTGTTTGAAGTGCCATATTGACATTTTGGGGGTATTCCATCCAAGTATATCTTGTGCTGTAGTGTTAGCATTTCTCTAGTGTAACCAGAGAGTCATGTGCTCTTGTCTTGTTTGATTTATGTATAAAAATGCATTTTAATTTAAATGCATAATTAAATTTTCGACAGTGACATGATGCTGTGGCAACAGTAAACATCATCATCTGCTCTCACTGTGTATGAAATCTCTCCATGAAGGTGTTCAGCAACCCTCTGAAAGTAAAAACAGACTGAGAGAAGGAGGCTCTGAGTCACTACATGTGAAAACAGAGAGAAGAAGTCCTTGAAGATTTGAGAGAGACTTTGAATTGACGTGTGGAGGGTTTCTGAGGTAAATTCATCTCAAGGTCACAGTCACATTGCATCCACCATGATTCTCCCAACAGAGAGAAAAGCAGTTTTTATTACCAGGAAACATTTTGTATGAATGATGCAGGGTTTGTATGTCAGGAGCTCTCATTGTAATGATGGTTAACATGTTTGTCAGGATTCATTTATTCCTTTAGATCAGTCAGTGATGAGTGGGTTTCTCCATCCTCTGGTGAAGGGGCGTAGCTGGCACTTTCCAAGAGCAACACCTAGTGGCCAAACATGTCAGTGCAGCCCCTGGTGGTGAATGTATTACTATCACTGAATATATAAAGTAAATATGACCCTTGGCTGTTCTCTGTTGAGGAAAGACTGTATTTGATTAAAAATATAATTTAATGTGGCAGATTTAAGGGTGCAAGAGATAAAGCTACATTAATTAAGAGAAGCCTAAGGGAGGTTTATTTTTTGTAAATGGAAAATCATATTATATTTTACTAGCTGTGTACTAGTTGATGTGTGTCATGCTGGACTGCAGGTTTAATGGGAGGCATAACTCTGACTGAGCATCATTTCTTTGTAGTGTTAATTTAGAAAAAAAAAATTAAATCACAATTAAAGATACATACAATATATGGTTGTAAAGACAATAAATATGCATGTATTTTCCAGCTATAGCATAAACATAAATATGCTGAAGGTGTCTTGGGTGGTAGCTCATCCATGTTATTATATTTGTCTCTCTAAAGCTACTGTTGGTAACTGCTTTAGCAAATCAAATATTTTTTATAACTGACATTAGTGCATGAGGCAGATTATTAATGCTCCTCTCTCCTCATAGTCCTCCTATGGGCATTCGCTGCTTGTGAACAGCCATCAAACTGTCAAACTCAGCAGCGTTGATCAAATATGAATCAGGATTCTGTTACTGCATTGCCTATTTCTCACCCCAAATGTTCTCAGAAACATATTTTAGTGTACTGTTTAGCTGTAAAATAAGAACATTCACTCCTGTTGGTGGGCAGTGCTTCATTTCAGCCTGATTATTTTAAACAGTACACTAAAATATGTTTCTGAGAATACCTGAGGTAAGAAATAGGCAATGCAGTAAAACAATCTTGATTCATATTTGATCAGCACTGCCTAGTTTGACAGACTGCGGCTCAGAAGCAGTGACTGTTATGACTGACAGCTGCTCTCACTGTGATTGGCCAAAGTCTCCCATCACAGGCTAGATTTTCTAAAGCCTCAAAACAGAGCCAAACAGAGGTGCAGAAATGTAGTGCTCTCTCAGACCGCTTGTATTTTCATATGCTCAAAGGTTATGGTAGGATTTGTGCCCGATGATACCAAAATTAAACTGTCTACCTGAGCTTTTCCTTTGCTTATTTAGCATTGTAAACCTCAGTGGTTGGTACTGTTTTACACAGTAGAAAATTAATGGGCCTTTTTCACTGAAGATATGTAAATAATAAGATTATTGGTGGCTGAATTCCATGTAGCTGCTTCAGTTTCAGGGTTTTGGGCATGCTGGTTCACTGTCACACCGCCATGGCTTACTGGGACACTTGAACAGAAATTAATGTTACTTTCAACACCTGTGCTTTTCCTGCTATGCCAAGTTGAAATACCTGCTGTGAAAGGGGACTTTCGCATTGTTCTTAATATAATTAACAGATGGCAAAGTGATTAACATTCGCTTTGGGGGGTGCACAGTGCCAAGCAAACTCACCTTTGTTTTTAGTAAATAACCTTTTATTGGGGAGCAACATAAAAATAGGAAACAACAATAAAAAAAAATAATAAATACCTATAGAAATAAGTAGATCTTAAACAAAAGATAAAAGTGAAAACCATAACAGAAACAAACAAAGCACAGTGTAGGTTAAGCCCTGTCATGCCTCACGTAAAGCATCTTCCTCATCATGATCACACTTTTATTTTGTTGAGCATTTTACAGTTAAGTGACAAACAAGTATAGTGAGAAAAAAGTATCACAAATATGCCAAATCCATATCAACAGCCAAAAATATCGGCAGTAAAAATTATACAAATATTTCTGTTGAGTGATATCAGCTGTTACCACAGTAAGCTGATGCAGGGGAGCATCTTTTCTTATAGTAGTAATTCAAATAGTTTTGGTTTTCTTTTTCCAGGTTTTGAGGTATCTCTCTCTCCTGCTCAGCACAATACAGGTGAATATAATTTTGTTTGTGTTGCTCATAACTTTAAAAAGGAACCTTTCCTCATAATATTATATATTCCTTTATACCTTGCTGTTTTCATGGGGACTACTTTCTACCAAAGAAACAGTCCTTATGAAGATGGTTGAAGTGTCCTGGAAAAAGTAAACTAAAACTATCAGAAAATGTGTTTTCTTTATAAATGAGGTGTTCTGGCAGTTTTATTTTGTTCATTACAGCCACCAACCTGGGCTCATGATGTGAAATGACAGTAAATAACTTCAGTTTCTTAAGACATGTCAGTATGAGTGCAGCTGCATTTTAGGTTTGAAACACCGACCACAGGGTCATCAACATTTATCTGACATGCTACCAGTAGCACACCAGCTGAACAACTGCATTGAACAGTTTACTGACTAAGGTTTGGCAGCTTAAACCCTTACAGCTGTCAGAATGAAGGTTGAATTAAGGATTAGTTCACCCAAAATGGAAACTTTTGTCATTATTTACTCACCCTCACTTCTGTTGGAGCACTGAAAAAGTTTGAGTGACAGTGGGGGACAATTTATCAACTCGTTTGGAGGGGAAAAATCAGGCAATAAATTTTGAATGTCCACATGACAAGCAGTGCAACTCTCCACGTCAGGTCATGACTGAAGTGTCCAGGCTGTTTGTGGAGGTCCATTAAAAGGAAATATTTATCATGAACTTTGTCCAGTTAACTTATGTAGTGCATTCAAGTGTTCTGCCACACTGTTGGCTCAAACACTAATACGTAAACAATGAGAAGGCTCTGTTTCCTTTAAGGTTTTTGACTTTCAGGGGGAAAAAGGAAGCCGTGCTGCATTACAGTGAAATTTGGATTTTACATTGATAGGTGTTTTGTGTAATTTTATGGTAATTTGGGGGTTATTTCTGAAAACAAAAGTGACCAAATTCTTGGTTGATTTGGAAAATGTTGACATGGAGTTGTAGCAGACACTAGCTGTATTGACATGCAAACATCACATCCTCCTTGGGAGTATTAAATTGTCATATTATGGACTGACAGAAAATATCAGAGTAAGTTCTTGAGACAAATGTTATTTTCTTGATGCTGCTCTATTATTCTACCCGTAGATGTTGACATTTCCATACAATTCCTGACACTGTACTTGAAAGAGAAAAGTACAGAATTTGACCTCTCCTTGACAAACTACCCCTCAAGCACTTTTCTCTTGCAAGCTGTTAGCGACATGTCAGGATGCTGCTTGGTTTGGTTTTGTTGGAACTGAGACAAGATGAGCCCACTGAACCATTTTTGTGTCTCAGTAACTGGCTTTTTATCTAATGTCTGATGATGATGATGATGATGATGATGATAAATATTTTACTCCTGATATTCTATCCATAGATGTAGTTTAATGTAGTGAAATGTCCTCTGAAGGCAGGCTATGGTGCAATTGGTTCACACAATTATGCAACTGAAACAGGGTGGAGGTGGTGAGTCCTCATGAAGATAGTTATGGTTATGTAGGATAGAAGACTCAAACCAAAGAGTGTTTGAAAGTTAACTTGAGAAATCAATTACAAACATTCTGGCAAACTTAAAGGGACAGTTCAACTTCAAATCAAGAAGACTTATTTTTCCTCTTACATGTAGTGTTATTTATCATTCTAGATTGTTTTGGTGTGAGTTGCCAAGTGTCGGAGATATCAGCTGTAGAAACATCTGCCTATACTGGCTGCCTATACACACTGGACCTTTAAAGCAGCTGTAATTGCTTTTTATATGATATTCTTGTATTTTAAAGGGGTTGCTCATATTGACAAAGCCAAAGAGATTATCAGTGGACTCTACAGTTTTCTTGAGCTCTACAGAACATTTTCACATCTTTCAGCTCACAGTTTTGTTTCCTGCCCACAACTGTTTTGACTAACTATTTTCAGCTGCAGCATGCAGTTGTTTTGAGTTTTAAAAAACCCATCTGGACACTACCTGCTCAGCAGGAAACACCAGGTAAATTTAGTAGCTAGCTGGTGAACATAGTGGAGCGTTGAGCAGCTCAAAGAATCGGTCATGAGCCAAACAGAGCTGAAAAATGAGTAAATATTGTACTGTTATTCATCAGGCGAACACAAAAGCTAATATTAGTACTGTGTCTCAGCTTGTTTCAGTTGCCCACGTGGCAAAAAAAAGTCAGTCACTGCAGGTTATAACTTACAGTTAAAAAATGAGAGCAGAAATAAAGTTTCTTCTTCAAATCTTATTTGTAAAGTAAAACTTGCTGCTGTTTTGTGCTGTAAGTAATTCAGTTAGTTGTTGCTGGACAGTTGAAGTTGCTCTCACTTGTTAAGAGCTGTTTTGTTGCTACACTGTGTACCTTTAATCATTGAACTGCCCCAAGAGCAGCAGGAAGTTGCTGTTTATACCTGATTAAATGAAATTAGCATGAAGAGCAGAGGACAATGCTCTCATTATTTCTGATTTAAGTCTCATAAAAAGTTAGAGGAGCTGCTGCTTAAAAAGCTTTTCCTGATAGTTCATTGTAGCAAGCATAAAACCATTCATGTTAATTAATGGCAGGTGATGTTCATGTCAGATTTATTCTGTCCAGCTAACAATTTATGATGCTACATAATGAGAGCAGCAATAATGCTTCACTGCTTCATTATAAATAATTCTGCAGCTCCACAGGAACACGGAGCTCGGTGATTATGTAAAAATAGACCTGTTATCAAAGAATAAAAAACAGTCTGTCCCTGCTTGGAGCAGATGACTGTGTGAACTGCTGCTTATATTAAACGCTGCCCACAGAAAGCATCTCAGTAAATAAAATTCTTCTCCTCATGCACTTTCACTCCTTTCTGTGAGTGAATGGCAGCTTTGTTTCAGCTGTCAGGATGGATTAAATCTTGCTCCCATAAACAATCATCATGGCGGAGATATGGAAATGAGCTGCCCCTCAAAGCGGCCCCTCAGAGGATGTACCATTCCAACATTTTCCAAATCCCAAATCCTGGGTGCTTTTAACACGCGACCAACAAATTACTTTGACTTGGCTTTCTGTTTGGGGGCAGGTGGAGTTATAACTGTAGGTTTAGGGGCTCCTGCAGGAGCAGGAGGGGGTCTCACTTTTTCATACAGACTGACGAACCTGCAACAAAACAGAGGCATCACACATGTCAATAGACAAAAGAGAACAAAAACATGTTCATATGTTATAAGCATGAGCATATGAAAAGACATTATATAACAAGCAGGTTACTTACAGGTTCTTGATTTTCTTTATAAAAGCTTTGACCGCTCTAACCACCCTCCTTATCCGCACCTGTCACCAAAATGTCAGACAGGTCAGTGCATTCAAAGCATTTTTGTATCTAAATTTTATTTCTCAGGAATCAGAGAAGTCATTTTCTTAGTAATTATATCTAATATATATCTAATATAATATCATATTACTAGTTTAGAGTTTTTCTTTTTTGCTGTTTGTGTAAGTGTTGCAATTCAGTGACAGATTTGACTGTAAAATAATGAAACTCACCTGCTGCTTTTTGTACAACATAGGAAGAGAGAAAACAGCGATCACAGCTGTTAAACAAGAACAAAGGAGAAATTATTTGTGAATTTATCTGTTAGAATTCATGGTATTCAACATGTCTCTGTGTGGATGGCTCTTTAGCGACTAGGACAGGGTGGAGATGCTCTTCAGTCTCTGTAACCTTGAGCTGGGAGACTGGGATTTATGTTGGTTTATATAAAACAGGGCCTCCCAAAGTGGGGCCCATGGGCCAGAGTTGGCCCCCTGTAAGCGCTGATTTGGCTGGCCAAATGTTTCTAGCGTGGGGAAAAAAGTGATTTAAAAAACATGATACACTCTGCTGGGTGGCACTGTGGAGCAATGGTTGGCACTGCCTCACAGTAAGAAGGTTTCAGGTTCAAACCCATGAGCCACCTGGGGCTCTTCTTTGTGGAATTTGCATGTTTTACCTGTGACAGCATGGGTTTTCTACACAAATCCTTCCACAGTCTAAAGACATGTAGTTTAGGTTAAGTGGTAACTCCTAATTGTGTACACTGCATCTTGCCAAATGTCAGCTGGGATAGGTTCCTCTGTTTACCTACAGCAGCTGACGAGGGTGTGTCGTGAGCCTGAGCCGGTGTTTGCGCTGTAGTAGTAGGTATATATAGGGCAAGTACATCTTTTTCCTCACATAATAGCCTACTGGTTTTCTGTTGGAAACAGCCGATGAAGTTTTCGTTAGCCGTTGCTATCCTGCGCACCTGCACGGCGTGGTGATGAACTGTCTTATTGATTTCTGTTGCCGTGCTGTCTTGCGGGCCTGCACGGTGGAGTGATACTGGCCAGAAAATAGTCCCAATTGATAGCAAGGTCTGACGTAATGCGGGGTTGTTTTAAAATTATTGAAATAGTCTAACAAAACACATGCATACTTTTTTGTAGCTTAAAACCTTTTGGTTACGTGTCCCCCGTACATCTTCAGAACTACTTTTTCTACTACTTCAGTAAGCTATGGGCAATTTCTCAGAGCAGGAGGCTCATTGAGAGTAGTGACACCGTCACATCAGAGCTACAGATGGTCAGCGTTTCACACAACTTCATGTCCAAAAACCTGAACTATCACTTTAAGTTTCAGGTTTGGCCCTCGAAGGGAAAAATTTTGGAAACTCTTGATATAAACCATGACCATGATCTTTTTCCTAACTTTTACCAAGTAGTTTTGGTTTGCCTAAACTTAACCCGACCTTAGTCACAGAGGTGGCATGAGAAAACACTCATGAGTCATTTTTAGATGAAGAACTCACCCGCTATGATCAGAGTCAATCCGCTGGTTTCAACTCCAACATAGGTCAGCAGATACAGGAGCAAAACAAACTGGGAGAGAACATAAAAAATGAATTGTTAAGTCGATGCAGCCCAGTCTTTCAGCCCATATGACCCCATAGGTCATTTGTTCCTACCATAGTAGGATCCATAGGAGCTTTTCCAAAACTAGCACCCTTACCAGGGTGTGGGGAGGTTTAGGAAAAGAATAATTATATGGGTTAAAATAGCCATAACATAATTTACATATATAGGCCTACAGTAGTAAACGCCACGTTATGACGTGATGTTAAGCATTTAGCAGGACGTTACATACGTACATAAGTTAAAATACGTAATTGTTGACTTTTGGTTTCACGTGGGACATTAACAGTGCTCTCCTGGGTCAGTCCTGTGTTTGACCGACCTCTCTACCCCAAGCTCCTCCCTATGGGGACTTTGTTGCTCCTTTAACTATATCATCTGACTTTCTCTCACCATAATTACTGTGGCCACTAGAGGTCACCACTGAACAACAAACATAATATGCGTCGTAATAAGCTACTCACACAAACGACCTATGGTGTCATAATGTGCAGGGGGTTGATTACACTATTAATCCCACTGAGAATCAACACCCACTCTGTGCAGCTCTGTTAAGCTCTGATTTAAAACTATAGGAAACTACTCACAACCAGTTTTATCAATCTGTTGGTGTTCATGCATAAATGCACATATTATTATTTTATCATCACACTCAGACCTTAATAGAGTCGATAACGCTTTCGATGAAAAGCAGGCGTTTGAGCTCTGTGACTGCAAATGCGATCATCAGCACCACCTCCTCCACAAGCACGACTGTCTCCTTATCTGTCAGGGAGCTGTCATAATCCAGGTATGACCTGGGGACAAAAACACATACAGGCCCTTAAGATCACAGGAGATACAAAGCAATCATGCCCTACATTTAGCCACAAGTGCAACATAATTGAAATTATCGACCCATAGAGAGCAGCACAGCAGCATTCAGTGTGGGCTTGAGGTTGGAAAAATGCACAAATAGTCTAAATTAACGTTTACAGACTCACTGGAAGGGGTGCACCCCAGGGTTCCAGCGCAGCAGCTCCAGCAATTTATAGTAAAATCGTAGGGTGAAGGTGACACACATGACACCCAGACAGATGTGGGAGATTACGGTGATGGCACTGAGCTGGAACAGACTGGCCAGACTGACCACCAGCCCTGTGAACACCACCCCAGTCTTCCTCAATTTCCGCCAATACACCAGATCTACAACTGCACAAGAAGACGCACACATGTTAGAGACAGCAAAAGAGATGAATTACAGTGAATGTGTGATTGACAGAGGTAGTTTGTAGATTATCTACTCCATTCTCAGTAAGGCCTTGATCAGTTAGATAAGGTACTCTTCATAATTCATCAGAAGCTGAAGCTGAAGCTGAAGCTTGGTTTTCTTATGTTTGTTTGTTTTGGATTTTTTTTATTTCATTTTGGTGACATCTGCATCACCTGCCTGTAAAGCAGTTGTTTGTTTTTTTTGCTTGCTTTTTTTGGACTGTTGAACCTCAATCACAAATCACATAATCATTTCAGCCACTTGAAAGGTCCTCGTGGTGCCACTTAGATAGATGGCAGAAGGATGAAGAGAGGTTAAAGGGACAGTTCACCTCCAAATCAAAACTACATATTTTCCCTCTTACCTGTAGTGCAGTTTATCAGTCTAGATTGTTTTGGTGTGAGTTGCAGAGTGTTGGCGATTTCAGCCATAAAGATGTCTGCAATATAGTGGAACATGATGGTACTCAGCTTGTGGTGTTCAAAGTGCAAAGAAGAAAAGAAAAAACAACAAAAAAAACTCAACAGCAATGTCTCTTTGCAGAAATCATGATCCGGATACACAAGATAATTCACAGACCTTGTTGTGAGCAGTTTCATGTAGGAACTATTTTATCTCTACCGAACTACATCCGCCAACTGTGTAACTACTCATGGACAAGAGGCTCATGTTTCTGATAGAGTGAGATGTCAACATTAGTGGCGTCTTCTTTATTGCAGCTGTAATGTTAGCTAGCTCAGTGGTGCTAGATGAGCTAGCAGTAGAGCCACACTTCCTTCTATGCAGTGATACTGTTGGTGGATGTAGTTCTGTAAAAAGAAAATAGTTCCTACATGAAAATGCTAACAACAAGGTCTGTGGATTATCTTGGAAAGAGACATTGCTGTTGAGTTTTTCAAATGTACTTTTTGGCACTTTGGGCACCACAAGCTGAGTGCCATCTAGTTCCATTATATTGGAGAGAAGGAAGATCTTTGAGGTCCAGTATCTCCAACACTAGGCTACTCACCCCAAAACAAAACAACAGATAGATAAATAGTGCAACACGTAAGAGGGAAAATACAAATATTTTTATTTTGGGGTGAACTGTCCCTTTAACTAAATTGTAATGGAGATGAAAAAGAAATGGTGACTGTTAAGATGCCTGACAGTTAGCAAAGCTCCGTCAGGCACTGCATCTTTTTTACAGCTCTGTTTTTGTTGTATCTGTTACTGTGGGTGTTAAAGAGGCTCAGACTTTGTTTCACATAGTTTCATATCAGTTTTCCTAAAAAGTGACACCACTTAAAAAAAACAAGTGAGTGTATGTGATTCTAACTCCTCATTCAAATGACCCAGATCATCTTCTATCCTCTTCTGTTTATTATAAACAAACCTGCTGATGGTGCTGATGGAAATGTGACACACATCTCTCCCTCTGTACCAGAGGCTAAATGGACAGCAAGTTACAGATTTATATATTTAAAAAAAAAAACATAGAGTTTAAACAGCAACTAAATCACTAAATACGCCAGTTACCTATATATAGATAAAACACATGTTGAACATTTGGCTGTACATTGCCAGGAAAATCAAAAATCAGCATATCTATTTATTCCTTTCTAGTAGTTCTATTCAGTACATGTGTTAAGCTTTGTTAGCATACAGTCCGTGGGACTAATTTATGAGAGTCAAGGACATCCTAAGCAGTAGCATCTTTTTGTTTGTCTCTTTCAGGAAAAAAACAATGCATCTGCATGAATGTGTTGCTTTTAATAATGCACTTTTCTGAGTGAATAATAAATAAAGGAATAATTACAGTATGAGTCATAGTACAACATTAGATATTCAAACAGCAAAACACTAAATGAGCCTCCTAAGGCCAGTGTTAATCTCAAGGTAATTATCTGATTAAAACTCAAGGATCTCACCCATAAACATGCAGGAGACACAGAGACACACACAACAACAATTTGTCTCCTAAAAGATCATTGACAAATGACTGAGTCACGCATTTGAATACACACACACACACACACACACACACACACACACACACACACACACAACTACACCAGCAAACCCTTTTGAAATGTTAAATTAGATTATTTCAAGTTTTCTTATTGGTTATGGTTATTTGGATAATGGTTATTCTGACATGAAGCTGGTAAGCCAGAAACAGAGACACTCACTTAAGATTTTACACCTAAGGTATTAAAACAATTTCCAGTCATGGCATAACCATAGCCTAACTCTGATTCTAATCCTAAAAATAAAAGTAAAATACAATTTAGAAAAACAACCCTGACAAGAAAACACACATCAATCCTCTGTTCATCTATACTTAAGATACAGTTTTGACCTTTTAGAATAAACAAACAAACAGCATTCAGTCAGCGACAGAGTCTCATTTAGCTGAGTCCCATCTGTCCACTGAATGAAAGACATGCAGGACTCAGTATTTGACTGGTCATCCTGTTTGTATTCACACCTGCCCAACAGAGGGGAAAAAATAAATCATCTCTTCCTCCTCCACCTGACAGCTGGACTCTGACCAGCTCCCTGTCTGCTCTGATTCACTTTACTTAAAGCTGTCACCATTTATTTCCTTACGTTTGGTGGCCATTTCAGCGACGATCCTGCTTGCTTTTCTCTCTTCCCTGTGCTTCCACCGTTGGCTCACTCTCCAGGCTTTTTTTGGCCACCCCAGCTCTGTCAGCAATATAAGGCCTGGCTGGCCTAATTTTATCCTGTATTGGATACCCCCTGTTTGGATTCACACACACATACACACACACACACACACTCACACACACACACAGGCTGAAATTGGGAACCCGAGACATCAGCATGTCCATGTCCCTCAGCTCTCGTGGTTCCTCAGCCAGTTCAGTTGGTGGCTGACCTGCACCCAGAGGCCCTCACAAGCAGCCATGTTAGTGAGAATCAGCCTTTAATGTAAAATTCTTTACCAGTCAGTATCAATAAGAACACAACCAATGTCAGTAGGATGCTACAATTTCCTCCAGCATTCATGACAAACTAATAGAAAAATGACTGAGGTGCATCACATTTTTAATGCAGTAAGATCCACAGACTTTTTTCTCTGCAGTGTTCATTATGAGAGAATTATAGCCCTTCTCACTATAACTCACATCTGACTGTTATTACGATTGATTCATACTCTAATTTGCTTTAAGCACTTAAAAAACAGATATTCCCATGTTGCAGGCAGATACTGGTTCATGGTTCTACTGCACATTACAGTAACATCCAGATTATTGTTACAGGTATAAATATAATACTTCATGGTACAGACAGGGTTGAGCAACCTGGGGATCCAGCAGCTTCCTGTTACCTTTACAAAAAAAAATATGGAAATGAGTGATAGTTGTTTTTTTTAGATTTTAATTATCAATTTTTGTAGGCCTGAAGTGATTCTTGCATTATCCAGTTGTGAAAATTTGCATACAAGAAAATGTTTTAACATTTCATCAACAAAAATGTGCATCATACATTCACAGCCTGGTGCCAATGGTGGTAGTAATAATAATAATAATCATAAGAATGATATCATTATGTTTTATAGCTTTGCATTTATTACAATCAAGGACGAGAGCTAATGAGAAACCAGCACAAATAAACAACTAAGCTAACAAAACTAATAAAGAATAAATGTGAAAAAGTAGAATATGTGCAAAATTGCAAATTTTGTCTTCAGCTGTGTCTGTAGGAAGATCCACCACTGAATAGGCTGTTTTCATAGGCGTTTCTAGCCCATTTTTGGGGGTGCTGAAGCACCCCTAAATTGAATCCCAGCACCCGTAAAAATTTGAGAGATTTTTTTGAATTTTTTTTTTTTACTGTATGTCCCTTTTTAACAAGCTAGAAAAGTGTCAAAACCATACAGTACCTGGTTGGAACAACAAAAATCCAGCAGCACCCCCCCTTGCCTCAAAAATGGTTTGATCCACCCCATCCCTCCCACCTTTCCCCGACTCGGGCTCAGAGCAATGCGCTGCCTTCCAGAGTGGGTGATATGCAGTAGTGGTGTAAGTACCTGGCTTAAACCAGGATATGTGGCACATTTCTTAACTTCTACCACTCAATACCAACACATTATTATCATTACCAGACCTCATTTTTGCTGCATTCAATCGTAGGTCACTGTTTATGTTGTTAGGTAGGAGTTAGCTGACGTTTTTTCTAGCTAGGAAACGTTACAGGTGGTCAGTACCACTGTCCTCTGTTTGAAATGGAATGAGAGAAGCTAGCTGTTGTGTCATGTGCATGTGTTAATATTAAAGCCAAGGTGCTACTGACTAGCTAACTGACTGGATGCCCATTAACATTAGAACTCCTATTATGTGTATTTATTATTATTATTTTGTAGATTTTAGATTTAGCACTTTTCTTTTTTGAAGTATATTTTTATGTATTTGTATTATATAATACAGACAAGAAGGAAAAAGGCAGAGACAAACATTGAAAAAGTCAATTACTGTTAATGTGTTAATGTTACATGTTGTGCATTGCATTTCAAATAAAAGTCCAAAAAATAAGTCCAAGGTCCATTTTTGGTATTTTTGGTACTCACTATAGGGGGCTGGTTTACTCCAGAAACATATTACTGTTTATGTGTATGTTTAGGAGCTGCTGTATCAAAATGAGTTATCCTCCCCCAGAAATTAGGGTTACGATATGTTTCTTTTATGATTCCAATCCATTCCTCTTTTGCTGTGGCTCAGCATTTAAATAACCTTTATCAGATTTGATGGTTTAGCACAGACTTTCCCAAAAAGTGTTGTGCTTTTCTTTCACAAATGTGGGAATGAAATTGAGTTAAAATGTACAAAACAGTGAAATTTATCTTGCCTGGCCGGGCAGCTCTCTGGGTGCTCAGCACCCTAAACCCTAAACCCCTGGCTGTTTTACTTTCATTATATGGCTTAAATATGTTTTGCTGCTCCAGTTTTGGAGGGCAAAAATGGCTCTTTCAGTCGTAAAGGTTGCTGACCCCTCGTACAGACTATTATGGAGGATGTTTTTGAGTACTATACGTATACTGTTACAGCATGTCCCTCACACTGGTTTGCTAAAACTCCTCCAGATCACTACTTTTGCTTCAGCATCACGTGGCTGCTCAAACTCATGTGTAAACAGCTGTCTAGCACATTCTGCAGCTGTGAATAAAGATGTTAATCTTCTTATTTTAGCCCCTCAAAATAACACATTTTGCAGGTGTTAAGAGTGTACGATGTTCAGGTATCCCCTGAGTATCTGAAGCACACACACACTCACGGGTTTGTTTCTGTTGAGCGTGCCTTTGACAAGCTGCCTTAACACCACCATGATGAGTGAACTTGATTAAATGTGTAAAACTGTTTCTTCATCCCTTCCTGCCTGGTCCCAGTAGCAGGACTGGCAGAATGTCAGCCCCGAAATCAAAGTGTTTGGAGAATTACAGAGCAGCGGCGATGCCATCCTGGCTGACTCCACAGATTTAAGCAGTTAAAAGGGGAATGGTGCCAGACAAAGCAGCTGTTGCTCGTGTTGTGGTAACATGCATAATCATGCACAACCAAAACCTCATTTCTGCTTCTTCAAAATGAAATAAACAGTTAACACATTTAGCAATCTTTTCCCCTCTATTGAATTTTCTAATTTTCTTGTCTGTAATAGAAAACATACAAATTTGTGGGTAAAAATGTTTTTTGTTTCTTTGCTGTTTTATTTTAGAATTTGAATTAAACTACTAATCATCTTACCCCATCAAAAAGTACCACATCCCACCTATGACTGTAAATTTGCTTCATTGCCACATTTAGGTCCAGGAAACAAAGATCTGTTGCAAGTGAAAAGAGAACTTGAGTGCAGCTGAACTGATCACAAGATTTTGATTAAAGATTTCAATCCAAATCCTCCACATTTTCCTAAATAATATCAGTGATTAAAAAATCTGGGGTAAAATAATGCAGAGAATGTCCAGAGTAAATGCAAGCAAAACATCTGATTACATTTCAGACATTGCAGGTACAAAAACAGTCCGACCCCATGTCTAATCTGACTCATAATTAAAGAATTAATGCAGCTCGGATTTCTGTTTTTGACTGGTGGATGATCAGTCATGAATCCCTTAAGAGGTAGCCTACAGTACATGCACTGTTATCATTAATATGTGAAAGTGAAATATCCGTTTAAAGGGATCATCACTGTGCATATTGAAAATAAACCTTTCCCCTGCATCTCTTCCTTTCACCGTCAGTTACCACACTGTGTGCTAAATGGCTGACAGTCCTGTAATCCACAGCAGTGGCAGCCTATAATCCTAACCGATCAAAGGTTGAGATTACCAAACATGTGGGAGGAGCAGAGCTGCAGATAGGAGGACGGTAGGAGAGGGTGAGCTCAGACATGACAGTAGAGATGCAAGCTGAGCAGGGATTGGTGCACACAAATAGCCAGCCAATCATAGCAGAGACAGAGAAAATAACAAGGGGAGAGCTGGTGAAAGAGGGAAGAGCAATGAAAAAGCAAGAAAGAGGGTGAAATCACAGCAGCACAGAGGAGAGACCAAAACAAGGAGGAGAGGAAGGATGAGCGGAGGAGAGAGCGCTGATCACTGAGGTCTCCAGAGAGGAGAGGAAGGAGATGAGCAGGGAGAGGGGGGTGAGCAGCCAGTACTGAGAACATCTATCAGCTCAGGCAGCCATGCTCTGAGTCCTGGAGCAGCAGGGCTACGCAGACACTGCACAGGCCCAACATCAGGCCCCGCTCAGCCCTCCGTCCCAGCCACAAACACCAAGGCAGGGATAAAAGAAGATTCTCCTCACATCAGCTGTGCATAAGAGCCATGAGGACCGCCAGGAAGGGCAGCGTGGAGATGCCTGCATTTATGCGGCAGCTGGTGAAAGAGACAGAGAAGAGGGTCAGCTCTTTCTTCAAAGGGGGCCGTGGAGGAGCAGCAGAGGGGGAGCAACCAGGGGATGGAGAGAAGGAGGAGGTCATCCCCAGCCCCTACCTGGACCGGCCGGTCTTGGACAAGCTAACAGAGGAGGGATGTGCTCGCTGGGGCCTCACCTATGCCCTGGGAAGTATGCAGGGCTGGAGGGCCAACATGGAGGACTTCCACAACTGCGTGCCACAGCTGGGTGGAGAGCTGGCTGACTGGAGCTTCTTTGCTGTGCTCGATGGTCATGCAGGCAGCACGGTGGCACAGTACTGCTCCCAGCACCTTCTGGGTCAGGTGCTGGCCACAGGTGAATGATTTGCAATTGAAAATGGATGAGTGAATATAACACATTGAATCAGTGGTGTGGAATGTTGTTATCTTTTTTATGATTGTAATGATGCTTAGCTATGTTTAAGATATTCTGACCTTGAAACTGTTTTTTCCTGGAGAAAGGCTAGATGTGTTTTCCCTGTTATCATTTCTCACTGCATTCTGCAAATATCTATAATATTCTTTGTAATGACGCATTTTTATGGGATCCTGATCTCAGAAAACACAATGTATTCCAGCATTGTATCTATTTATGCACACAGGTGGGTTAGGACCAGAGGATGACCCTGAAAGGGTTAAAGGAGCCATCATCGAGGGTTTCCTGCAAACAGACAAGCACCTGCACTCTGTAGCACGTCGAGAGGGCTGGGAGAGGGGTGGTACCACTGTGGTGTCCACTCTCATCTCAC